TACCATAAACCGCCCCTCGGGCCAAATATCAACAGAACCAGCCCCTCGGGCTACCTCACAATCACTCGTAATCAGCCCCTCGGGCAACAACATGAAACAACAACCGCCCCTGGGGCAATATCACATCACTCACACTGGGTATCCGTGCTCACTGGGGGTGTACAGACTCCGGAGGGGCTCCTACAGCCCAAGTGCTAACATGAGCCATCTCGTGGCATAACAAATCAGGCCCTCGGCCTTCATATATCACAAATCAGTACAACCTGCTGCGGCGCACAGCCCGATCCCATGATATCCTCACAACACAGGCCCACGGCCTCACTCAGTTAGAACTCACTCAAGCCCCTCGGGCTAACAGTAAAACAGGTACTCGGTTCAAAATATCATTTATAAAATCAAAAGGAGTAAATAAAATCCGAGTTATGAAATCAGTGAAAGCATAGCATGACTGAGTGTAAATATTATCAAAAATAGTGAGGAAACAGTAGTAAAAAGCCCCTAAGGGTCCAAATAGTCGGCACAAGGCCCAAACACGGCATTCAGCCCCAAACATAGTAATACTTCCCAAAACACAATAATATCAAACAGTTTTCAATCAAATACGCGACTTAATGGTCGTACGGGATGGACCAAGTCACAATCCCCAACGGTGCACGACCCCACGCTCGTCATCTAGCATGTGCGTCACCTCAAAATAGGACAACGATGTGAAATCCGTGGTTTCATACCCTCAGGACAACATTTACAATCATTACTTACCTCAAACCGGTCCAAACTCTAGCCCGTGACGCCTTTGCCTCTCGAATAAGCCTCAACTCGCCCCGAATCTATCCAAAATCAAAATCATAACATCAAAATAGGCTAAAGGAACAAAGCCCACGCGAAAATATTCAAATTACATCGAAGATCCCGAAATTGGCCAAACCCGACCCCCGGGCCCACGTCTCGGAATTCGATAAAAATCACACCACCAGAATCCTTATCCTCCCACGAGTCTACAAATCAAGAATATCAAAATCGGATCCCAAATGGCCCCTCAAATCCCCAATGGAAACTCTCCAATACCAAGCCCTAAATCTCAAATTTTAACCCTTGATTTCCATTAATTTCGGGCCTAAACAGTAAAACAATGCCATAGGACCAAGTATTGAGTTCAAAAATCTTACCTCCAAGTGTTTCCCTTCAAATCCCTCTTCAATCTCTCTCAAAAAAAGCTTCAAAGTCGCTCAAAAATGGTGAAACAAAGCTGAAAATCGCGAAGGAAGGCTTATATAGTTTCTGCCCAGGTGTTCCCGCACCTGCGGACCAATTATCGCACTAGCGGACCGCTTTTGCAGTCAAAATAACCGCACCTGCGGTTTTCACTTAAAGGCCAATCTCCGCATCTGCGGTTAGAACTTCGATCCTACGGCCCCGCAAGTGCGCAATCTCCGCTTCCGCGACCTTCCCTGCGCATCTGCGACATCGCACCTGCGGTCCCCAATTCGCAGGTGCGGAAATAACAGAAGCAGAAAGTCTGCAGCACAACTCCAAAACCCAAACTCTCCGTCAACCATCCAAATCCATCCCGAGGCCCCCGGGACCTCGACCAAAAGTACGAACAAGTCAGATACCACTATTTAAACTTGTACCAATCTTCGGAACACGCAAAACAACATCGAATCATCAAAACACCCTCGGATTCAAGCCTAAGGATTCCAAAACTTTCAAATTCCGCAAACGATCAAAAAGTCTATCAAACCTCATCCGAATGACCTGAAATTTTGCACACACGTCACAAATGACACAACTGACCTACTCCAATTTCTAGAATTCCATTCCGACCCCGATATCAAAATTTTCACTACCAACCGGAAAACGCCAAAATTCCAATTTCGCATATTCAAGCCTAAATCTACCACGGACCTCCAAAATACATTCCGATCACACTCCTAAGTCCCAAATGACCTAACGAAGCTATCCGAACCATCAGAATTCACATCCGAGACCTTTTTCACATAAGTCAATATCAAGTTGACTTTCCAACTTAAGCTTACTTAAAAGAGACTAAGTGTCTCATTCCTCCCCAAAACCACTCCGAACCCGAACCAACCAACCCGATACCACATAATACAACTAAACAACACATAAAGTAGCAGAAATGGGGGAAACGCAGAGGTAACTCATGAAACACCGGCCGGGTCGTTACATTTTATTTCGGTAATGTAAAAATATCTAGAAACACGAGAATATTTAAAACAACAATAATCCGCTTAAATAACCATTTCGGTATCATGTCGAGTAAAGGACTTGCCCCACATGCAATTTCAAAGCATCGGTAACACCTTTATTTTCAAAATCATATATAAACTATTAAAATATTCTCTGTAATTCTTTATTTCTCAGTTCATGAATCGAACATCAGTTAATAACCTTATCATAATAAAAATATTCAAATTTAATGTCACCCATTATAATTAAGCACTAACTCAATTCCAATATCAGATCTAAAGAGCTAAACAATTCAAACTTAAACACTCTCAAATACTCTTCGAAATAGGTTATACCCAAATATGTGCATAGCTAAACCCAATTAAAGTTAGTGTACATCATCTTTCCCACTAGCATTTAACTTTAGTTTCCGATGAAACCTTACATACTCGGGGAAACAACTCAAATAGAATTAAAGTAACATTAACCTGTATAAGCGGAAGTGTGGCAGTAGCTATGAGCTTCAACTTTGGTCCTTCTTTTGTCTTGTATAGTTTAATGACAAAATTTTATTCTTCTAAACCTTCTTTCACGTTGCTGAAGTATTTCACCTTGGTTTTTAGTTGAGTTGTTGTCCTGTATCTTGCTCTGGATAAACCTTTCCCCTCTATTCTTTAATATTGGAATATGACTCCCCCCAAATCCCTAACAACTTGTTTGGATGGCTGTTACCTGTCGTATTTTATTGTATTGTTACTTTAAATATAATATTTGTTTTGATTGTTACTTAAATTTTATTGTATTGTATCGTTATATTCATTTTTACATAACGACGAAAAATGCCACTTATAGAACGACAATTTTGGTATGGTAGCGTCGTTTTCTTGTTTTCTCTCTCTCATATTCCCTTCCTTATTATTAAATAATCATATTTTATTCTTTATCCTACTTTTTATATAATAATTCTATTCCGCATCCTATTTTTTCTTAGTAATGTTGCAAGTTTATTCTTTATATTGTTGATGGGTGACACCATGAAACAACGACAAACGATACAATATATCCAAATATTGTATTCATCAAACAATACAATACACTACAGTATAATACAATACGATACATTATGAAACACCATATAACAACAATCCAAACAAGCTGTAAATCCCGTAATGTAATATTATAGTGGGAGTATTCCCCTCCCCCTACCCCCCCCCCCCCCCCTTTTGTCTCTTGTTTTATTTTATTAATAATTGGCTGAATACATACGGAGACACTTAAAGTTGGCACGATTTTTCATTTAGACACCTGAACTTAGGGTTGTTCCTAATGAGCACGTACATTACATGAATTTTGTTCCAATTAGGCACTTCTTGCTGAGTTGGCACAAAGAGTGAGCTTCACCCAATATAGGCGCGTGAAGAGCCCAAAAAATAGATTTTTTTTTGTCTTTTTTATTTCATTCTTCTTCTTCTTTATGTCCACCACCATTTTCACCATTGCCTCCTCCACTTTCACCATTGTTGTGCCTCTACCATTGATTTAGCTCAATGCATGAATTTGAAAAGTTTATCACTGATGAATAATTTCTCCTTAAAAAAAGATAAATCAATGAACTTTTTCATTCTTTCAACATCCTCACTGGACAACGAGGTCTGAAATTTTTTTGCTCTTTGGAAAGAACAAAATCAACAGATTTTGATTTTCCTTTCTCTTATCCTTGTCGAACCACATGGAATGTAAGAAAATATCATAATTATATAAAAATAAGATTTTCGGAAGCAAAGAAGCCATTTATAGTTTATAATAATAAACCAATAATCTGTTCGAAACCACATTAATCTGAGTGTATATTAAATATTGAATCCAAATTACATTTGAAATCCTCAACTTTGACCAATGGAACATCCAATTATAAAATGAGTAAAGTCATCCTATTCTCCTTCCCGAAGAACGTGGTAACTAAAGAAGGCGAAAGGGGCAATACACTATGAGGGGATTCACTCCGTCGCTGGACTGAATGAAGGCAGCAGAGAAGAAGAGCCAATGATAGGGGGAGGTAATGGGTCTAGTTGTGGGGATTAGTAAATTCAAGGTGGATTTCTTTTAGTTAATGTGGCTGTTTTTAATTGGTTACTCTGCCACATAAGCAGCGTTTGAACTTCACACGTTGATCTTTCTTTGGGACTGAGATTTTAGTGTCCAATAGCCATACTTTGATGGTAGTTTGAGTGTCTAATAGGAAACATGCTCATTTGAGGTGTCTAAGTGAAAGATCGTGACAAGTTTAGGTGGCTGTCTATGTATTTGGCCTTAATAATTTAGTTAATGACTTAAATGTCCATAATTAAAAACGGGTCAATACATTGAATTTGATGGTTCTTTCATTAGTGTTAGTATATTTTACGAATTTATTAAAGGGAGAATACACTTATAGCCCGTTTGGCCAAGCTGCAAAAATCAGCTTATTTTGAGAAGTGCTTTTTTTCAAAAGTGCTTTTCTCAAAAGTACTTTTGGTGAGAAGCAGTTTGTGTTTGGTTAATTAGTTTGAAAAGCACTTCTGAGCAGCAATTAGTGTTTGGCCAAGCTTTAAAAAACTGCTTCTAAGTGTATTTTTCTCAAAAGTGCTTCTCAAAAATGTGCATTTGGAGAGAAGCTACTTTTTTCTATTTCTCCAAAACTACTTCTGCTTCTCCTCAAAAACACTTTTTTTCCTTCCAAAAGCTTGGCCAAACACCTTAATTTTTGACCAAAACTGCTTTTGGCAAAGAAAAAACACTTTTGACCAAAAAGAAGCTTTGCCAAACACGCCATTATTCGGTGACAAAACTTATATATATATATAGCATGTATAGACAACGAACACTGCTGATTTTATTATTAGAAGAAAGAATTTGATTAGTTGAGGAATTGAGATGGATGGTAATAATCGGAGGGCTGCTCAGGGTAACGCCCCAGCAGCCGGAGCTATGGACACCGCTGATTGGCGGACTCAACTTCAACCCGATTCTCGTCAACGGATTGTCAACAAAATGTAATAAGTATATTTATAGTAGTAGGAGTATTATTTTTCTGCAACTTGTACTTGCTCAAAGATTTTGGATTTCAGGGCAACTTTTTCCTTTATAACCGTGGCGTCCATACCTGCAGATGGAAAGAAATCACTGCCCCATGTTTCTATTGTGTTTATCAATTTCTTAAAATATTTTTACCTTTAAAAAACATTTATCTAGGTTAGGTTGTGCTCTTTAAATCTAAATTTTTGTTGATATGGCTGTATAGAATGGAGAACATTAAGGGTCGTCTTCCTGTCTCTGGACATGAAGGAGCTCAGGAGCTTAACAAAATAGCAATGAGGTTTGAGGATATGATCCATACTGCTGCCACGAGTAAAGTATGCAGTCTATACTTGTTTCTATTTGTCAGCATAATGCAATTGTTTTCCACATTGTTGAATTTGTTATTCTTGCTTGTCTTAACGTGCATTTTTAACTCAAATTTATCCAATATTTCAGCAAGATTATCTGCAAAGGTTTTCAAAGATGCTGACTAAGTTGACGAAATTTCAATATCCCGATTCTATACAACCCAATGCTATTACTAGTGGTCAGAATGCCCATGGCCCAGGTGAACAATGAAATTTCATGTGCTATATAGCAGATCTTTGTCTGATTGGATGCTTTATATACACCTAATTAATTCGTTCCGCTGTTGAAAATACTTTTTTCTGTAGCTACAATATGTACGCGAAATTGCAGATGCTTGAACCATTGTTCTAATCTTTGTGTTATCTGAACTATTTTAGGTGATTAGTCTTAGTAAGTATTGTTTGTGCTCTAGGTTAGAGTCCTAGCCCCTTAAAGTACTGTTCTCTACTATCTGACTATTCTTCTTCCATTATTAGCTACCTGAAAAAAAAGGAACACTATTGTATATTTATCTAATATGAACTTAGACAAAGTTCTCATTTAGTGTTTTGGAACGCAAAGCTATTGCTTCTGTTTCTCGTATCTTTAACTACAATATACTTTCTTTCTTTTGCTGCTTGTATGTATTTTACTGCTAAATTATTATGTTTGATTATTTGAAAGCAATTGACTAATTTTTGTGAATTGTGTAGGATCCCACAGCATGCATTCCCAAGTTAACAGCCAAGCACAGCAACTTCCTGTACCTATGGTGGCCAATGAAACTCAAACAAAGCAACCACTGTTGCTGCAGAACATTCAGAACAACATGGCATCCCAAAATTGTGTTAGTTTGAGCCCAGCACTTCCTCCTGTGGGCAACTTAACTCAAGCTACCATGCCAAATGTTGTTGGCCAGAATTCAAATTTTCAAACCATGCCAAATGTTGGTCAAGTCGTGCCTCCTGATCTGGTTAGTAATTCTCAGAGGCAGATGCAGGGAAGACAACAACAGGTTGCTTCTCAACAGCAACAGCAGCAATTCCAGACAACACAACAATTTTACCAGCAGCAGCTGCATCGTCAAATGATGAAGAAGAAATTTCAGCAGGGAAACACGCCACAGTCCTTGATACAACATGAACAGCAGAAACAACAGCCACAGTCACAGGAGGAGCAGCAGCAACAGCGACAAAACCTTCTACAGCCTACTCAGAGAAATCAGCAGCAGTTTGGTTCTCAAAGTAATATTGCTGGAATCCAGCAGCAACAGTTGACTGAAAGTCAACCTGTTAACTCTGGCTTGTCGTGTAATCGGCATCCTATCCATATTTTGCAACTATCAAAAATTCCTGTACAACGGCAAACGCTACAGAGCGCTGCAACCGTGTTACCAAGTCAACATCAACAATCGCAGTCACATCCGGTACAACAGCAAATGACGTCGCAGAGTCAATCACGACCACCTTTGGGTTTGCAGCAACAGAAGAATCAATTGCCAAGGGAAATGCAACAGAGTATTCAAGTATCAAGCCCGTTGCTTCAACATCAGAAGGAGCTATATCAACTACAAAGAGCCACACCAGAAGCTTCATCAAGTATGTATTTTTCATAATAAAAGCTTCAATTAGGTCTCATCCATCATTCATTAGCAGTTCGTCATTCTTAGAAATTTCCACTTCTCATCCCTTCTATGTGAAGGATTAGGACTTCTACACTATTTAACCACTGGTTTACACTTTTTTTTTATAAGAAGTAAAACCAATTATTTAGGAGGCGTGGAGAAAGTGACCAAGTGTCATTTGCTGTTTTGATCAGCTTTAATCATACAAACCATCATGCAACTCATAAAAAATGTGACGCAAAAGATGCATTTATTTTCAGTTAAAAGGCGGAAAGCTAAATTATGGAATATTAGCACATTACCAGATACACAGTCAATATACTAGTCTATAGTGAGTATTTAACTTTTGTTGACAAGTCCATTTGGATGGTGTTTAAGATATGTGAATGTTTCCTGGAATATCTGACAGATGTTTATATCCCCAACAATTGCCTGAATTTGGAATCTGTAATGAGTCAAATTCTTTAATATTAGTGCTATCCTCAATTTCTGGTTTATTTGTATTTTGTAGCATCGTTAGATTCTACAGTCCTGAGGGGAAATGCAATTGGAGCTGATTGGCAGGAGGAGGTTTACCAAAAGGTACTGTTTGCAATGGTATTTTAATTTGCAAAGGATGTCGAAATCGAAGAAATTATATATGACTGTTTTTGGGTAATGGAGAAATCTCCGAGACTCTGGTGGATAATAGGCCCATCCCTACCCTAAAGATTCAAGTTGAAGTTCAAGAAGAATATGGGATCAAGCCCTACGCTTAGAAACATTGAACTTAGGCTGAGTCTCTAAAGTCTAAACTCCTCCATAAACTAAAAACTAACTAATGAAAAGCAAGTATAAGGTTCTAATTTCTATAGTTCCTTCTAAAGTGTGCCGACAGACAAGTTTGCCCTTACATAAGCAAAAATCTCGCGAGACGTCCTGACCACGGGCTCAATTGTCTGGTGAGTGGAAAATCCCTTGAGGCTACGACTTCAAGTTTGAGGCCATGACGTCAACTCTGAGACACCAATCTTGCAGCTTCTGCTTTGTGAGGCAAGGACTTCAACTCTAAGACACCACTCTTGCAGTTTTTGTCTTATGAGCCATGGCTTCAAGCTTGAAGTCGCGGCTTCAATTTCAATTCTTCCAAAATCGGCTCCATATTTTTTTTCCAATGATGTCACAATCACATGGAAGTATTTATGACACTTTTGAGCGCTCCTTTGGATGCTATCACTTGATATGAGCTGAAATGTGTATAAAGAAGCTAAAGCAAAGTTCAGTTGCTTATTTTACACTTCACATGTTGGGCATCCCGGTTAACGAAGCATGTCACGTTCAAGCAGGGTCCGGGAAAGGACCGCACCCAAGGGGGTGTGACGTAAGCTGCCTACCTGATGCGAGCATCGGGGGCTAATTTTACGACTCGAACCCCTGATCTATAGGTCACACGAAGACAACTTTACCGTTGCTCCAAGTTTCCTCTTCTTGCACTTCACATGCTAAATTGTGCAAAATGGATTCTTTAATCAGTTCTAGCTTCCTGTTCTACTTCACTTTTAGCCTTAAGGTTCTCCCCTGAAGATTCTCTAAGTATCTTCTCTAACCATCAAGCTTACCTACCATTCACATGGAAATGCAGTCTTTTTTTTTGTGGATAAGTACACATGGAAATGCAGTCTTAGAATTTGTGTAATTGACTTGATGAAATTTTTAATGCAGATCAAGTTTATGAAGGAGATGTATTTATCAAAGCTCAATTATCTATACCAAAAAATTGCTTCTAAAATGCAACAGGTATATATCTGCATTTAATCCATTATTATCATATCTGAATCAATTCTACCTGCGGATCTAGATCTTGATACAGTTTGTGATGTCCATAGTTCTCATTAAATTATACTTCAATTCCAAAGTTGTTGAGGTTGGCTATACGAATCATCTGTATCCATTTTTATTACATTCAGGCTTGTTTCACTCCAATAGTAAATAATTCGTCTTTTAAGGAAAATTTGGGTTCTTTAAATTTCACTCGCTCCCACCCAACGTACAGGTCTAACTAGAATAATAGGACTCATGGCAAACGACTAACCTAATATATGTGTTAATAATGAATAAGCTTTTAATCCTAACAAGTTGGTATCGTTTATATAAATTTTTTAAATTTATTGTTACAGTTTTATCTAAGTTTGCATTGATTCCAGGAGATCATAGGTCTTGAGATAATATCCTCAATGGATTTTTTGTCTCTCTTTCTACTACCTTTATCGTCATAATGCCCACCTATGAACTGATTCTTTTGGTCTTTGGAGGTCCACTAAAGACATGGCTATAACATCGTGGGTTAGAGCCATCTTAAGCGACATTCTCTCATGTTATGCTTGTTGTGCTAGTTGTACCCTCTGTCAAATGTAATCACTACTGAACTTTTTATTAAATACGGCACTTGTCTTGTCGATATGTTGGGCCTTAAAAGTCGAATATTCATATAGCGGTGCTTGTCTCGCAATTGTTTTATTAGTTCTTGCCCTTCACTTTGTTAGGATCTTCTATTTGTATATTGCCTCCCAATGCTTATCCATTCAAATATTCTATTTTAATTTATTTGTTGCATCTTCATTGTATCATGCTTTTTTTCCCTTGGGAAACTGACCATAGATATCTAATTGGCTACGTCGAGGCACTATAGTGGTGTCTTATCTCCCTTCTTATCTTTTTCCTTATGGGGACGATACTTTCTTTTATAACTGAAAAATTCTTGAAGGCCAGTGGCTCATGGTTCGAAACTCTGTGATGGGCCTGTTCCCCACCTTTCTTCCAATTTTCTCACACTTATGATTGTTCCTTCGCACATATGTTTTATAGAATTTATATATTTGATACAAACTCCTTGAGATGCGCCTAGTTAATCCTAGAAAATGATCTAACTGAAGTTTTGCTTCAGAAAATTTGAAAATCTAGATGCCCGTGTTTGCATCTTTGGTCCCTTTCCTGTTAACTTAAGAAACCTTGCCTTCATAGTGGGATTCGACTATAGTGTGGTTAATTCCTCTTCATTTTCCTACATCTGCATCATTTGTCAGTGTTGAAGTACTGTATATGATCGTTACGTTAAGGTGGTGCTCGGGCACCCAAAGATGTGGCCTAGCGGTTAATAAAGTGGATGAAATCATGGGAGACTGGGGTTCAAATTCCTAGTTAAACACTGTGAGCAGATGTGATTTTGATGTTAGTTTCCTCCAGTTTGTTTGAAGGAATCAAGGTCTGCCAGATTCTTTTGTTAAGGGCTTGATATGGCCTAGTTAAAATGCACTTAAGTCAACATTTTGTTGAATTGTGGGCAGCTTGCTAGCTAACTGTGTTATTTGTCTTGTTATGCCCTTTCTTAAATTCTCCTCCCTTTTCCTTCGCTTGGGGGTGGGGGGGGGGTGGGAGGTACTTAAAGCATGACTATTAAAGGTTAGCAAGGGTGAGAAACAAGGCTGTTGCTAAACTGATTTCTTTCTTTTTTCAGCTAGATTCTCTTCCTCAGCGACCTCAAAATGAGCAAATTGAAACGTTCAAGATGCTCAAGATCACACTGGGACACATTTTGCTATTCTTGCGGCTTAACAAGCAGGATATCAAGCTTTTTCATAAGGAGAAACTGCTACAGGTTGAGAAGCACATAGGTCTCTTTCTTAGTTCCGATAGGCCGCGCACTCCTACTTTGTCTCTGCAGCAAGGGCAACTTCCTGAAGCTCTTCGGATGCAACTGAAGGTACAGAGTTCCATGGAAGCAATGCAGCAGAATAATCTCACCAAGTTGCAACATAATTCCTTTTCTCCTCAGGTTACCCAACATCCTTCTCCGCAAACTGACGAACAAAATATGTTGGCGTCTCTTACTAAAGCTGGGCCTCCTCTCCAATCTGCAAACTCACCATTTGTCGTCCCATCTCCTTCAACTTCCTGGGATCTATCTCCAATGCCAGGGGATTCTGAAAAAGTTAGTACTGGCCTTGCATCACATATTGCTGCTGGAAATATAACGCATCAGCAGGCTGATGCACCTGACCAATCCGTTGGAATTGGTATTCCGGAGATATCAGCCTCACCTTTGCTTGCAGAGTTTACTTGCTTAGATGGTACACATGCCAATGTTTCAGCTGTTGTTTCAGGCAAGTCAAGTGTTGAACAATCATTGGAACGCTTGATGAAAGTGGTTTGTATAATAGTGTTCTACTTAATTTATATTTTCACTAATCCCAATATATCTGTCTTTGCAACTTTCCTTTGATTTGATCTAATGTTATATTCAGGTTAAAAACATGTCCCCAAAAGCATTGAATTCGTCAATTAGTGACATCAGTTCAGTTGTCAGTATGATGGATCGAACAGCAGGATCTGCACCAGGAAATGGATCAAGAGCAACTGTTGGCGAAGATTTGGTTGCCATGACCAAATGTCGTCTCCAAGCGACAAATTACTCTGCACAGGATGGACTGCCAGGAGCAAAGAAACTGAAGCGACACAGAACTTCTGATGTCGTTTCATCATGTGGCAATGTAAATGATAGTTTCTGGCAGTTGAATGGGTCTGAAGTATCTGAGTCAGAGTCAACAGCAACATCCAGTTTCAAAATACCGAGACCTGAGGTAATCTTCTGCTACCTTTCTATTAATGAAAGAAGTACAAAAGTATACATCTAAACATGAGAGAGGCGTGTTAGATTATTCCGGTTCTTAATAGAAATAGGATATCCATGGGGGTGCACTTTGAAGTTAAAGTAAAAGCTGGAATATAGCCACGGCCAAAAGAGATACGGGAATGGAACATATGCAATACATTGGAATGACTTCCTGAAGTCTGAGCATACCTTCAAACTGAAACTTAGTGTGAAGTGCCCTTGAATTATCATTACAAGTGCCTATCTTTCCTTTGACATTTGACTGATTATATTCCTGCAACTAGAATTCCGCCCAGATTGTCCACTTTTAAGTCTCTTCTCAAGTGTATTCTGTGATAGCTGCACAACGTATGATACTGCATATGGAAATCAAACATACCTTTCCTTTTGGATGGAGGTTTTGATTTTGACATTGTGCATGGAGGTTTTGGTTTTGAGGATAGAAACGAAGGAGGAGTCTCGCTTTTGGATTTCACAAAAACTTTGAGTTGGTGATAGCTAATTCGAGTTCCCGAAGAAAGAGGAGCACTTGGTAACCTTTCGCAGTACGGTGGCTAAGACTCACATAGATTACTTACTCTTTAGGAAGGGTGATAGAGTTCTTTGTAAGGACTACAAGGTTATCCGGAGTGAGAACCTTACCACCCAACATAAACTCTTGGCGATGGATTTAGAGATTAAGAGAAAGAGAAAAAAGAGGGATTTGTGCGACATGCCAAGGATCAAATGGGGTTGCTTGATTACCGCCAGAGCTCAGGAGTTGGGGGGAGAAGTTGATGGCAATGGGGGTTTGGGGGAATAGTGGGGATTCAAGCAGTATGTGGGATCGGACAACTAGTTGTATTAGGGAAGCAACTAGAGAGGTGCCGGGGGTCTCGAGGGGTAATGTTGGGGGACATTGAGGGGATTGGTGGTGTAATAGAGAGGTCCAAGGGAAAGTAGAAGGCAGGAAGGTCATAAGCAGGTCACTTGTGAGAAGTTAGTGGAGTGCAAAGATGAGGAGGACAAGCGGATGCATAGGAAGAGGTATAAGGAGGCGGAGAAAGAGAAGAAGTTAGCGGTTATGTCGGTGAAGACGGCAGCATTTGAATGCTTATATGTAAAAGTTGAGGACAAAGATGGGGATAAGAAGTTGTACAGGCTAGCTAAGGCGAGAGAAAGGAGGGCCGAAGACCTAGATCAAGTGAAGCACATCAAATATGAGGAAGGCAAAGTATTGGTGGAAGAGGCACATATTAGACGAAGATGACAGACATTCTTCCATTAACTATTGAATGAAGAGAGGGGCATGAATATTGTGCTGGGAGATTTGGAGCACTCCGAGAGCCGTCAAGATTGTGGGTATTGTAGGCTTGTAAAAGTTGTGGAGGTTGAGGGGGCTATGCGTAAGATGATCAGGGGCGAGTGACCGGGCCAGACGAGATCCTGGTGGAATTTGAAAGAGCGTGTGAAGGGCAAGTTTGGAGTGGCTTATTGGTTATTTAATGTCATTTTTAGGACGGCAAAAATGCCCGAAGAATGGAGATGAAGTACAATGATTTTGTTGTATAAGAACAAGGGTGATATTCATATTGCAACAACCCCTAGGAGTATCAAGCTACTAAGCCACACTATGAAGATTTGGGAGAGGGTGGTGGAGATGAGGGTGAGGAGGGTGTGTCTTTCTGAGAATCAGTTCGGATTCATGCCGGGCGATCGACTACAGAAGCCATTCATCTTGTAAGAAGATTAGTAGAACAGTATAGGGAGAAGAAGAGGGACTTATATGTGGTGTTTATCGATATAGAAAAAGCAGACGGCAAAGTCACAAGGGAAGTTCTGTGAAGATGTTTGGAGGCTTGATGTGTACTTGTCGCATACACTATAGCTATTAAGGACATGTATGATGGAGCCAAGACCTGGGTGAGGACAATGGGAGGAGACTCGGGACACTTCCCATGTCGTGATGGGGTTGCACCAGGGATCAGCTCTCAGCCCATTCCTATTTGCCTTGATGATGGATGAGTTGACTTGACACATTCAAGGGGAGGTGCCTTGGTGAATGTTATTTGTAGATGACATAGTACTGATTGACGAAATGTGAGGCGGTGTGAACTCTAGGCTGGAGGTTTGGAGCTGCACCTTAGAGTCTAAAGGTTCAGGTTGAGCAGGACTGAAAAAACATACTTGGAGTGCAAGTTCAGTGACGTGACTCGGGAGGTCGACATGGAAGAGAGGCTGGATACACAAGTCATCCCCAAGAGAGGAAGTTTCAAGTATCTTGTGTCTATAATCCAAAATAATGGGAAGATGACGATGATGTCACGCATCGTATTGGAGCGGGGTAGATGAAATGGAGGCTCACATCTACAGAGTAGTTGTTAGACCGACTTTGTTGTATGAGGCTGAGTGGTGGCCAGTCAAGACCTCTCACGTTCAGAAGATGAAAGTAGCGGAAATAAGGATGCGAAGATGGATGTGTGGGCATACTAAAAGGAATATCATTAGGAATGAAAATATTCGGGACAAGTGGATGTGGCCTGTGTGGTGGACAAGATGCGGAAAACGAGGCTGAGATGGTTTGGGCAGGAGAAGAGGAGATGCACAAATGCTGTCGTGAGGAGGTGTGAGATGTTGACTATGGTAGGTCCAAGTAGAGGTAGAGGTAGGACGAAGGAGTACCGGGGAGACGTGATCAAGCAAGACATGGCACATCTTCAGCTTACCGAGGACATAACTTTTGATAAGAGGGTGTGGAGTCGAGGATTAGGGTAATAAGTTAGTAAGTAGTCAAGCGTATTTCTTTTTCGTATCAGTATCTCTTTTCTAAACCTGTAGTACTAGTGTTATTCTAGTATTTCCTATTCTTAGATTTCTATTACTACCTGTTATTTCTTTTGCTTCGGACCGTCGATTATCTTATTTTGCTGGCTGTTGTTACTGCTTCTTTTTCCATAGCTTCTCCACTACCGGATTTCTTTGTCATGACTGATGTGATTATGCTTTCATTGAGCCGAGGGTCTATCAGAAACAAACTCTCTACCTTCACATGGTAGGGGTAAGGTTTGTGTACACACTTCCCTCCTCAGACCCCACTTTGTTGGATTGCACTGGGTATGTGGTTTAATGAGACATGTGCATTGCTGCTGTAATGCTTTTGAAGCTTGGGAGTATCTCCAAGTGATCTGAACCAGTATAAGATGGCCGTCTAGCATCAAATAAATGCAGTATATACTGAAAACGCGATTCTTTCAGCTGGCTTCTACACTGCCTAATACTGGAGTGTCTTTGGACCATACTGTCATTCGCATTGCTCCTTCAACTTATAATATCAGGACAACTAATATCCAATCTCTACCACGAAATTCATAGCTCTAAATGTCCCTCAAACCTACTGTGTCAAATTTGCACAGGATACAAATCTGTATCAAAATAGAAAAATACCTTCAATATATATATATATATATATATTCTTTTTATGAGGTTTTGATTCAACCTTATTCCTTTTGTAGCAACTAGCATGTGAAAATATTCTCGTAGTGAACTAAGTCTAAGGTGGAAGAAGTTGTTTTTTTTCTCTTTTTCAAAAAAGATGCAGCAAAAAGAAGGTTAAAAAATATGAGTGAAAATTTATCTCCAAAATTTTAAATAACCACAAGTCCTTAAATAGCCATTTGAAAACAGAAAATTTGCAGAATAGTTATAACAACCTAAAATATCTATACATAAATTTGAATTTAAACATCCTTGATACTATAATAAAAGTAGACTCCTCTTACTAAACAGCTAATTGTTCCAACTGATTAACAGATGCAATATTCAACACTCCTCCAGTCCTCCTTCGCTTCCATTGCTGCAATCTGAAAACTATGCTTCTTTATTTTTGCTTTTGCTAATTGTGCTTGTGGATTGTTTTGAGTGTCTTTGAACTTGCCACTTCTGTAACATGACCTTTTTTTTTTGTTTTGTGCATAAAAACACCTTCAGAAACTCTATCTTGTGCTCTTCGGAATGAGCTTTAATTTAGGCAAGGGTAGGACTTGCAAGTAGTGGTTGTAAGGATTTATTTTTCATTACAACTTCAGATAAGATAAGACTTCACTTTTACAGATCAAATATGATAGCTTTCACAATTGAGAGTTTGTTGGACATTCTAAGAGAGACTGCTACTTCCCATGTTTGAAAAATAAATTTAAAAATAGGTATGATTAATGAATGGTCCTTTTGAGTGAACTCTCTGTAAGACTAACTCAGCCTCTGACACCACTGTTTTCTTTTTTAATAAAAAAGGTGCAGCACAAGATGGTTTGGATTTAAAAACAGAAAATCTGCACTTAGTTATTGAACAAACCTAAAATATCTTAACAAAAATTTTGAATTAGACATCCTAGAAATAATAACAAAAATAGAATTCCCCTACAAGCAAACAACTCATTATTCCAACAAATCAGCTGCAGCAGATACGATATCCAACAACTGTCTTCAGATGTCTAGTCACTGTCTTCTTTTGAAATGCTTTTGACTTGAATTCCCAACTGCACCTTATTTCACTGTTTTGCTCTCTGGAGTTTAAATCGACACAACGCCCTTTGTCCTTGCACTTGCATATTGGGCTTCTTTATTTCTGGATGCATCCTACCTTTTGTGTTATATACTTATATTTATGTAGATAACATGAATGGCTTAGGTTCTGCCCACATAATCATTTATTGAGTAACTGGATTCTCAAATGAGTAAATTTGTTCAACAGAAAAAGAGAACTACAAGTTGGAAACATCCCAAGCTTTGGCTGGATATTGGATAATAGGTATTATAATTGTAAGACTTGGGAATGCTAAAGCTGCATTGCTTCCACGCGAGCATGTTAACTCAACATGTAGAATGGTGTTTTTCCTTAAACTATGGTATTTTTTGCATATCCGGAAAATGAGTTAGCTTTATTTTGCTCTTCTCTTGTTTGCTTTTCATCAATTGTTTTTTATGGTAGGACATCCTATATTTGATGTAAGACACATTGTTTATCCACAAAAATTGTTACTTTTCAGATGCTGATTTTCCTTGATGTTTCATTTCATATTGATGTGGTGATCTTGGACAAGGAAATTGCCTTGCTGTCAATATTAGGATTCTCCTGCAGTAGCTACAGTACTAACAGTGATTTGTAATCTGTTGCAGGTTAATCATGCACTGGTTGAAGAGATACGGAATATCAATCGGCAGCTTATCGACACTGTTGTAGAAATTAGTGATGAAGGTGTTGATCCGAGTGATGTTGCTTCCGCAACAGAGGGTGGTGAAGGTACTACTGTTAAGTGTTCCTTCACTTCCGTTGCATTGAGTCCAAGCTTAAAATCACAGTATGCTTCAGCACAGATGGTGAGATTTTGATCTTCATACACTGAACTTCAGTCATCAACTCGTATCATTTTTGGTTTCTATGGTTGATTGATAGTCTTTTACTTCTGTGCAGTCTCAAATTCAGCCTTTGAGATTGCTCGTTCCAGCTAATTATCCAGACTGCTCTCTGATTTTGTTGGACGAGTTTCCAGTTGAAGTCAGGTGAGGAAAAGTTGGCCAGTCTACTTGATATAGTACTGAAAAAGAGATGACCACAGAAAGAGAAAGGGAAGAAGAGAGAATTAATAAGAAAAATTCTATCATATGAAATCAATAAAAGTTGGCAGACCTGATTTTATGCCATGTTCGTCATAGCTAGTTAATTTGTAGGTCTTAAGATGATGAACAAAGAGTCCTTGTGATTTTTTGTCCATTTGGATTTTCTACTAGTCAATCAGGGGCTGTTAGTAATAGGGGTCTATTAAGCATGTCTTGTTCAGTTAATTTTTCTCCCTAGAAAATAGAGGATAGGGTTACTCTGAGAAATTAAATTGCTGATGTTGGGCATGCTGACACTCAAATGGGTTAGCATAGGTTCGTGAAATATACTGACTAGATATGGAATTTAGAGCACACTATACAGGAAAACCATAAAAGATTTTACTCATCTGCCTTTTGATCTGCATTAAGATTATTAATTATGTTTTGGAGATCACTCTTTTCGAGTCTTATATTCTCCAATTAAAACACCTAACTAAATTATTTTAAAACTCAGATATTAACTGTTTTCTGCTGCAGTAAAAAGTATGAAGATCACTCCATGAAGGCCAAATCAAGGTTTGGTGTCTTTCTGCGAAATTTTTCACAACCAATGTCTTTAAAAGACATAGCAAAGACTTGGGATGTTTGCGCTCGCTCTGTGATTTCTGAGTGTGCACAGCAAAATGGTGGAGGAACCTTCAGCTCAAAGTATGGGTCTTGGGAGAATTGTTTGAGTACAGCATGATGAAGACCTAATTTATGAGCAAAGTTATGAGTTTGGCTTGATCCATCTCTTGACTCCGTTCTAATCCTGTCTTGATCCACCCTTTGGCTTTGCTCTCCTTCTGCCTCCTATTTACTGGTGGTGACAGCATATTTCTCGGCTTCTTGAATTGGAATGCTGATTTTTTTTTTTTTGGTTTATGCTGGGTGTTGCTCAATAAGAACTTACATTTCAATTGAGTTGTTTCTAATCAAGTATGGAGTTTCTTTTTGAGGTGTTTGTCCTTTTACTTAATTATATTCAGTGTTCTTCTGAACTTGGTGAAATTAAAAGGTTTAAAATATTGTCTGATGCCTTGTCAATTAGGGAGGGTGGTCTTGGTACAATTGAAAGAATTATTTTGCACCATATGACCTTTTTTTGAGGCCACTCTTCAATTTATGTTCATGTTAGTCTAGTGAGCTAAATTTTGCCTTTAAAAGTGGTTGGACGAATTCTCTTTGCAGACAAATTTAGGCATGGAGATGGAATTTGAATACTACAATAATACCATACCCAATATTATCCCACACCGTAGAATATAAATAGTGATGTCAAAATGCTATTTGTGCACACGCTCCCAATTGAAAGCATAAGGGGAGCATCCGATATTAGATATAACTCAGCTCTTCATTTTTGTTTCGCAGTTTGTTGTCTTTGTATTTTTACAGGAGTTAGGCTTCTCAATATATTTGGTTTACAATCTTCCGGAGTGTGTGGTAAATCTAGGATTCAAAGTCATTGGGTTCTGCTTTTCGTATATATACGATCTTTTTTACAAGCATAAATATACATAGTTCAAATTAATCGCAATTAATTCTCGAAACCTTTGTGTTTAGTCTAGATCCGCCAAAGAATCCCAACGTATTAGCCTCTTTAGTAACTTGATAATAACTATAAGGTAATTTTTGTACCATAAAAACCTATATATAGCTCAAGGGTCATCTTTGGCAACTGAATAGGGCCAGGGAGGTATCTCCTTGATTAATAGTTGAACATGCTTGATGAACTTAGGGACATGTATATACAATACCTCGAGGTACAAGCACTAAAATGGCAATTTTTTGATGTGTTGTTCTATGATAGTGGTTTCATCTTCTAGATTAGGCACTGAAACTGATCATTTTTTTATTCCTTCAAATTTTTTATTCAGGGCCTGAATTTTTGGTTGTATTCTGTAATGGTTTTACTACCTTTTTTTTTTCAACTGTTATTAATTTTGTCAGATTTAACACTAATTGATTGTCCACGGATTCAGATATTCAATACCACAATGATTGGAAGTTAGTGCTTTCAGTACCCCACTCTTTTGAAAAATAGTCTTCTGTGCAAAAAAAAGGGTGTAGAATGTGAAACCAAATCCCACTAGCAAGAGCCTATTCCATAATAAGGTTTCTAGAGGATTTTAAGTGCTTGTTAATTGCTTTGCCTCTGTGGGCATTGGAAGAGCCATATTTTACCTATAACTTTTAAAAATGACAGCTTCAAATATTTTCTCTTACTCCCTCTTCTATCTTATCCTTTCTAGTCTAAATTTTCTTGGGGCAGCGGTACATGCTCATAAGCTACAGTACTAACAACAAAAACAATACCAATTTGTTTAAGGGAAGAACAACTGAAGTATCTTGACATGGAAAAGAAATCACTTTATAAACCAAACAGTCATTCAACTAAATCAAAACATGTAAGTAGTTAAATAGGAGAAATACAACAAACTGCTTAACACATTACTCTAGTTAGTGAATCTCCATCTTTTTTTTTGGTTTCTCATCCGGTGTTCGGTACCCGCATTGAAATTCGACTAATCCTAATTCGCGTCGCGTAGGGCCCATTTGGGGGAAGCTCTCCTTACTAAGGATTTATCCATTCCAGTGGCTCGAAACCGAGACCTCTGGTTAAAGGCAGAGCAACCTCATCCACTGCACCACATCCTTTGGTGGTTTCCATCTTCAGTTGTCTTCAACTTGTGACTGAAAACAACAAGGTATAACCTAAATAAAACTTACTCACATCCCAAGTCACATCCGGTGTGTACATCAAACCAATGAATGCTAGACATGTATGTATATACACACTGTGATATGTATTATAACCCAGAATAGCAAACAAGAAAAATTAGGATTACCAAACGAAATTTTGTTCTTCATCTGCCATGTCACTCTTTGGATTCTGCATTTGTTGATTTTGTTCTTATCATGTTCTTTGTGACGACCCGAAACCTCGAAATTTGATTTTTGAGGGAAAAATGGTAATTTGACCGAACCCGTAGGTTCGAGCCGTTATTTACGACTTATTGCGACTGGTTGGATCGATTTCTAAAGGTTCCGGATGAGTTTGTGCGAAACTAGTCACTTAAATGGTTAAGAAGGGTTCCGACAATCAAAACCGGGCGAACAAGGTTGAAATTGTAATTTGACGACGCATACAAGTTCGTGTCGTCATTTGTGACTCATAGGAACTGGAACCGCGACCAAGGTAGTGGTAGTTGGTTGGCGATGAGACGAACAACAGGTACCTTCCTTTTTGTGGAAGATCCTTCCATCCTTGGAGACAAGTCTACACTCTTTTCAATCTTAGTAGAAGTTTAGCCGACGAGGAGAGCTCAGTGGGAGCTAGAGCACCACTCTCAGTTTCTGTCTGATCGAAATCATCGAAAAGCCATAGGTCATAGTGCGCGTACTAAGACTAAGGCTAGAGCTCACTTCTTCCTTACTAGACCGATTGCCATGAATGAATGAAGAGGCTTGACTTTAGCTACAGGGCCGGGGGAACAAATAGGCGTGGGGAAGAGTCTGCAACAAAATCAATTGAATAGACAGAGAAGTCCAGTAAGCCTATCGGTTCAAGCAAGTTCGACTAGTTTAGGCGCCGCCTTCTAGACTTCTAAAAGCGGGTGGTTTAAGTCCAGAGCCCTATTCTGGTTACGGAGTGCGGGTAACCGACAAGTAGGTTAGCAAACTGGTGAATCAATAGGCTTTGCTCCTGCCTTCGCTTCCAGGAGGAATCCTATCATCCATGGAGAAGATATCGTATAATAAGAAATTACTTAAGTCATCGGTTCGAATCCTGTCCCCGCCTAATCCATCTGAGGCCCGGCCTCAAGATTGGAGATTCCGTAAGTAACTCAGTGCAAGGACTTGGAAGAAGAAAATGAAATAGGAACAAGCGCGCTGGTTGTTTAGTTCGAAATGGAGATTCCTTTCCCCTATGATTCTAGGAACAATCCTCACCGCCCTTTCAATTATATCCATAAGCCTCTATCGAAGAAGCCAATTAAACAAAAGAAAGAAAAGAGATGATGACCTTATGCTTGAACAACCTTCTTCTCAACAGAAGTGAAGACGACTCGAAGAGGGAGAGGCCGAAGGGGGAAATGGAAATAAGGCGGAAGGAAATGGGGATGCACCTCTTCTTCAAGAAAAGGAGGCTCCTATAACCCTTGAATTTGAAGGAATTCAAGTAAGCGTAGCCCCTGCATAGGATGGGGGGGGGGGGGAGGCGAAAGTTCAATTAGAAGAGAATGATCCCCTTTTTTACTTTCCACTTGCTAACAAACTTCTACCTCAGCTAAATGCAAACCTTGACCCGGAGTTGGAGGAAAACGAAGTCTTTCCTAATCTATCTCATAGTATTACTAAAAGAATATGGGCTATTCTCGAAGGAGATGCCGCTAATTCTCCTTCCTTAGGTGTCAAATGTGATTGATCCGGCAGAGTGGATAAAGAATTACCTACACTTTGTATTTCTGCTTAGTCTCGCCTGCTATCGTAAGAATCCTAAAGACCAGGTGACTGGACATCTTGCTTCTTTGCTAGTTCCCTTGAGTGGGTCTAAAACTTCCTTATTCTAGGTTATTTGGTACTACCTTCTTTTGTGGACTCCTAGGAATTCCGTATGGAGAAAAAGACAGTCTTCAAGTTGAACTAGCTCTAGGGTTGCTGAAACCTCTTTGCCTTCGACGGAGTACATGTTTTTGAAGTTCCATTCTTTTCCAGCGGGGCAAAACCTCTACCTTAAGGAAAAGTGTATAACCCCAAGGCTACGAACCAAAAGGAGAGATGGTAGGTCTTAATCAATAGAAAGAAAAGCAAAAAGTCTTAACCCACACTAAAAGAATCAAAATAGCTAACTGGCGAAAAAAAGAGAGAGCGTTGAGAGAATCAGTATGGTCATAGCAAGATCTTTCTTATTACAACACAACCCACAAAAAAGGAATTGTGTATAAAGAGGAAGTCGCAGCTAAGAAATAAAAAAGGACAATGAAGGGGGAGCTAGCTTTAGTAGAAGTAGGGACGGGAGATTCAATTAATCGAAATCTTGAAGGTGAAATTTAACCTTTACCTCAGAGGTAGATTAATAGCTTTGCCTTTCCTCATCCCATTTTTTTCTCTTTGATCCCACGCTCTTATCTTCCATTCGTTCTCTGATCGCCTCAGCCGCTCTCCTAGTTATCATTTCCATGACTCTCTTTTTCCCATTCATCTCAAACTTCCTCGTTGTGGGTGAGACTATAGTGTTGAATCTTTTTCCAGTAGCTATTCTTGCAGTTGCAGTAGTAGCTGTAGTACCATCGAACTAATAGATGGACCGCAATGCAAGTACTAGAACTATGAATTTCTATCAATGTCAGGATAGACAGAGGTCTAGGATAGTACGCTGTCAGAGTGAGACCGCGGTAGAGTAAGGAAGTTAGACCGAAATGAAGGACTCAATTCCTCTAGAAGAAAGGAGAGAGAAAGAAGAACCAATTCTATGAAAGAATATCTTATTTACTAGAATCGGTTGCTACTAGTCCGTGTTACCTCAGAGATAGAGCCATTAGGCGAGAAAAAAGAAGGTAGTTAGTGCACTAACTCAAACCTTATTCTTGGACGAAATGTCCTGCTAACATAGGAGCACTCCTACTAAGAAATGGAAGAGCCAATTTCTTTCTCTTCGACGACACAATGGCTCACCTGCCCTCTGCTACACATCTCTTTCGTTTGCCCAAGACCCACCCACCAAATGGAACTCTTCCCTTTTTTGTTGGGTTAGAACGAGTATGAAGTAGGGAGGAAGAAGAGTGGGAAGAAAGAATATAGTAATATTTACCTTTCCCAGCTCTCAGAAATGGAGAAGGAATGAAAAATCTAGTGAACTCCTCAAACTCCGTAGGTAATTCGAGGCAATTCAAGAAAAATAAGATAAGCTAAGACAAAGAACTTGAACATTGGCAATAGAAAGTTGAATACTACCATTCTTTCGCGTTGACTCTTCCGCGGAGTAGCCTAAAGAATCCCCTTTTTCGCTTATTACTCCTATAAAACGAGA